TGTAACAGTGGTTGTTACAGCAGTAACAGTGGTGTTAGTTACAGGGTACAGACAGTAACAGCAGCGGTTGTTACAGCAGTAACAGTGGTTGCTAGTGACGTGTGTTTATACCACACTGACCATGAGGTACAGTAGTTGTTACAGCAGTAACAGTGGTTGTTACAGCAGTAACAGTGGTTACAACAGTAACAGTGGTTGTTACAGCAGTAACAGTGGTTGCTAGTGACGTGTGTTAATATCACACTGACCATGAGCTACAGTAGTTGTTACAGCAGTAACAGTGGTTGTTACAGCAGTAACAGTGGTTGTTACAGCAGTAACAGTGGTTGTTACAGCAGTAACAGTGGTTGTTACAGCAGTAACAATGGTTGTTACAGCAGTAACAGTGGTTGTTACAGCAGTAACAGTGGTTGTTACAGCAGAAACAGTGGTTGTTACAGCAGAAACAGTTGTTGTTACAGCAGTAACAGTGGTTACAACAGTAACAGTGCTCGTTACAGCAGTAACAGTGCTTGTTACAGCAGTAACAGTGGTTATAGCACTAATAGTGCTCGTTACAGCAGTAACGGTGCTCATTACAGCAGTAACTGTGGTTGTTACAACAGTAACCGTGGTTGTTACAACAGTCAGTGGTCGTTACAGCAGTAACAGTGGTCGTTACAGCAGTAACGGTGGTTGTTACAGCAGTTACAGTGGTCTTAGTAGCAGTAACAGTTGTTACAACAATAACAAGTGTTACAGCAGTAACAGTGGTTGTTACAGCAGTAACAGTGGTTGTTGCGACAGTAAGTGGTTGTTACAACAGTAACAGTTATTTTTACAGCAGTAACAGTGGATGTTTCAACATTGGTTACAACAGTAACAGTGGTTACAACAGTAACAGTGGTTGTTACAAGAGTAAGTGGTTGCTAAAACAGTGACTGTTCCAGCACTAACAGTGGTGGTTACAACAGTAGCAGTGGTTGTTACAAGAGTAATATTTATAACAGTAACAGTGGTGGTTACAACAGTAGCAGTGGTTGTTACAAGAGTAACAGGGGTTGTTGCAAGAATAACAGTGGTTAGATCAGTAACAGTGGTTACAACAGCAACAGTGGTTGTCACAGCAGTAACAGTGACTGTTACAGCAGTAACAATGGTTGTTGCACCAATAGTGGTTACAACAGTGTTTTTTCCAACAGTAAGAGTGGCTACGACAGTAACAATGTTATAACGGTCATAACAGTAACAGTGTTATAACGGTCATAACAGTAACGGCAGTATATTCAGACTAATGGTCGGAGAGAGTAATTTGACCCCAATTAAGTCTCTTAATAGGTATGCAAATGCTAATGATTGTTGGCAGGTCGCTGACACCACTACACAGTGTTGGCAGGTCACTGACACAACTACACAGTGTTGGCAGGTCACTGACACCACTACTCAGTGTTGGCAGGTCACTGGCGCCACTACACAGTGTTGGCAGGTCACTGACGCCAGTACACAGTGTTGGCAGGTCACTGACGCCAGTACACAGTGTTGACAGGTCACTGACGCCAGTACACAGTGTTGACAGGTCACTGACGCCAGTAAACAGTGTTGGCAGGTCACTGACACCACTACACAGTGTTGGCAGGTCACTGACGCCACAACACAATGTTGACAAGTCACTGACGTCACTACACAGTGTTGACAGGTCACTGACACCACTACACAGTGTTGGCAGGTCACTGACGCCACTACACAGTGTTGGCTGGTCACTGACACCACTACACAGTGTTGGCTGGTCACTGACACCACTACACAGTGTTGGCTAGTCACTGACACCACTACAGTGTTGGCAGGTCACTGACACTACTACACAGTGTTGGCAGGTCACTGACACTACTACACAGTGTTGACAGGTCACTGACGCCACTGCACAGTGTTGGCAGGTCACTGACACCACTGCACAGTGCTGGCAGGTCACTGACACCACTACACAGTGTTGGCAGGTCACTGACACCACTACACAGTGTTGGCAGGTCACTGACACCACTACACAGTGTTGGCAGGTCACTGACACCACTACACAGTGTTGGCAGGTCACTGACACCACTACACAGTGTTGGCAGGTCACTGACACCACTACAGTGTTGGCAGGTCACTGACACCACTACACAGTGTTGGCAGGTCACTGACACCACTATAGTGTTGGCAGGTCACTGACACCACTACACAGTGTTGGCAGGTCACTGACACCACTATAGTGTTGGCAGGTCACTGACACCACTACAGTGTTGGCAGGTCACTCACACTAAACAGTGTTGGCAGGTCACTGACACCACTACACAGTGTTGGCAGGTCACTGACACCACTACACATTGTTCGCAGGTCGCTGACACCATTACACGGCGTTGGCAGGTCACTGACACCACTACACAGTGTTGACAGGTCACTGACACCACTACACAGTATTGGGAGGTCACTGACACCACTACACATTGTTGACAGGTCACTGACGCCACTACACAGTGTTGGCAGGTCACTGACGCCAGTACACAGTGTTGACAGGTCACTGACGCCAGTACACAGTGTTGACAGGTCACTGACGCCAGTACACAGTGTTGACAGGTCACTGACACCACTACACAGCGTTGGCAGGTCCCTGACATCACTACACAGTGTTGGCAGGTCCCTGACATCTCTACACAGTGTTAGCAGGTCACTGACACCACTACACAGTATTGGCAAGTCACTGACACCACTACACAGTGTTGGCAGGTCACTGACACCACTACACAGTGTTGGCAGGTCACTGGCACCACTACACAGCGTTGGCAGGTCCCTGACATCACTACACAGTGTTGGCAGGTCCCTGACATCTCTACACAGCGTTAGCAGGTCACTGACACCACTACACAGTGTTGGCAAGTCACTGACACTAATACACAGTGTTGGCAGGTCACTGACACCACTACACAGTGTTGGCAGGTCACTGACACCACTACACAGTGTTGGCAGGTCACTGACACTACTACACAGTGTTGGCAGGTCACTGACACCACTACACAGTGTTGGCAGGTCACTGACGCCACAACACAATGTTGACAAGTCACTGACGTCACTACACAGTGTTGACAGGTCACTGACACCACTACACAGTGTTGGCAGGTCACTGACGCCACTACACAGTGTTGGCTGGTCACTGACACCACTACACAGTGTTGGCTGGTCACTGACACCACTGCACAGTGTTGGCTAGTCACTGACACCACTACAGTGTTGGCAGGTCACTGACACTACTACACAGTGTTGGCAGGTCACTGACACTACTACACAGTGTTGACAGGTCACTGACGCCACTGCACAGTGTTGGCAGGTCACTGACACCACTGCACAGTGCTGGCAGGTCACTGACACCACTACACAGTGTTGGCAGGTCACTGACACCACTACACAGTGTTGGCAGGTCACTGACACCACTACACAGTGTTGGCAGGTCACTGACACCACTACACAGTGTTGGCAGGTCACTGACACCACTACACAGTTTGGCAGGTCACTGACACCACTACACAGTGTTGGCAGGTCACTGACACCACTACAGTGTTGGCAGGTCACTGACACCACTACACAGTGTTGGCAGGTCACTGACACCACTATAGTGTTGGCAGGTCACTGACACCACTCACACAGTGTTGGCAGGTCACTGACACCACTATAGTGTTGGCAGGTCACTGACACCACTACACAGTGTTGGCAGGTCACTCACACTAAACAGTGTTGGCAGGTCACTGACACCACTACACAGTGTTGGCAGGTCACTGACACCACTACACATTGTTCGCAGGTCGCTGACACCATTACACGGCGTTGGCAGGTCACTGACACCACTACACAGTGTTGACAGGTCACTGACACCACTACACAGTATTGGGAGGTCACTGACACCACTACACATTGTTGACAGGTCACTGACGCCACTACACAGTGTTGGCAGGTCACTGACGCCAGTACACAGTGTTGACAGGTCACTGACGCCAGTACACAGTGTTGACAGGTCACTGACGCCAGTACACAGTGTTGACAGGTCACTGACACCACTACACAGCGTTGGCAGGTCCCTGACATCACTACACAGTGTTGGCAGGTCCCTGACATCTCTACACAGTGTTAGCAGGTCACTGACACCACTACACAGTGTTGGCAAGTCACTGACACCACTACACAGTGTTGGCAGGTCACTGACACCACTACACAGTGTTGGCAGGTCACTGACACCACTACACAGCGTTGGCAGGTCACTGGCACCACTACACAGCGTTGGCAGGTCCCTGACATCTCTACACAGCGTTAGCAGGTCACTGACACCACTACACAGTGTTGGCAAGTCACTGACACTAATACACAGTGTTGGCAGGTCACTGACACCACTACACAGTGTTGGCAGGTCACTGACACCACTACACAGTGTTGGCAGGTCACTGACACTACTACACAGTGTTGGCAGGTCACTGACACCACTACACAGTGTTGGCGGGTCATTGATCTGCGTTGTCAGTAGAGTTGTTGACCAGTGGAACATCGTGACCACGACACTGGTTGCAGGACAAACTATTCTTGGGTCGACGTTTCGCCCTATATAGAGCTCTACACTGAGTGAAACTTGTTCCGCAACCACTCTTATTGGTCGTACTTTTCACCAAAACTCTGTTTTATCTTTGGGACACACTCTTAAGTAGTCATTCAGTAGTAGTAGTAGTAGTAGTAGTAGTAGTAGTAGTAGTAGTAATTATAATAATTTTATTATTATTATTATTATTATTATTATTAAATTGCTTTTAACTCGTTAGAGTTGATGTAACTGAAAGGAGACTGGGAATGATTGAATGTTAAGTGAAGAAATATTGCGATGTTTCGACCCTGGAAGGCCTTGGTAATGGCTGGGACCGAAAAGTTGTCTTGTTTCACATGCAGTTAGTGAACTTTTAATTGTTGTATGAACTGCTTCATTCATGCAACCGTTACTTTTGTTGTTCATGGTCTGGTATTGTTCTTGTGTTGGGAGGTAAGTTGCATGGTATTGACAGCTTACCAACACCACTACACTGTTGTCAGGGTGCGCCAACTGTTGTAGGGATGCTGGGAGAACGTAAATAACTGTGGTGGTTTATTGCCCCTAGTAACACTGGTGAAGATTTGTCAGGGCATTAGTCCCTTGAAAGTTTTTTCAGGGCATTAGTATCATGTAAGTGTTGTCATGGCGTTAACCCCACAGTAATGCTGTCAAATCATCAACCTCTCGTTAATGATGAGAAATTACTAACACCACACTAGTATTGTTAGGTTACTAACACCACAGTAATGCTTTGTAGTTACTAAGAAGAGATTACTGTTATCAGGGTGGATGAGCGTTGGGCAGTTGGTGGGAAGGAGCGTCACTGGTGGGACGAGGAGCTACTGGGTGGGAGAGCAGTGCTGGAGATGTGGTCGTCACCAGTGCTACTGAAGGTACATCACCTCACTTCTACCGACCAGGCTCTCTACACCTGTCGTGTTGACTTCAGACTCAACCCCACCAAGACTACCAGAGTCAACCTTACTGTTGTCGGTATGTATCTCTCTCTAACAAGATAAACTCATTACCTTTGTTCCTTGTATTAAAATATCCGGCATGCGACTGAGGCTTCCCATATGACGTCATGGGTTACTAACCCGCCATATTGAAGGTCAAGCAACACTGATAAAAAAGATGAACACGAAGTGTGTGGTGGACGTAGTAGCAGGCAACAGTATACTACACTTGTAGGGAACAATGCTGCCTGAAGCAAATTTTCGAAAAAAATAAATTTTAAAAATGATGATAAATACTAATGATAATGATTAATAATAGTAGCAGTTTCTTCTGATCTGTTCGAACGTGAAGTTGCCTAGATGCCAGGGAAGGGCTCTTAATCCAAGGAATTGGAACTACCCTCCTTTTCCTTGGATAGTCTGATGGACCTCTCTATCTCTGGCATTTTATGTCCCTCACGGGTTTAGCGCTTCCCCTTCAAAGTAATAATGTTCTGGTCCCACTTTGATCTCTAAGAAGTGTCGCAGTCAGGAGGTCAAGGTAAGTGAGTGGTCTGCTTTATGTATGGAACTGTCAACGACTTAGATCCGCAGCAAGTTATTTTGGTGTGTGGTCCTGGAGAATTGTGGGAGCAGAGAGAAGAATGCTGGCTTAACACCAGACTTGCTGAGAGCCTTGTACAGTCCCTTCACTTCTTCAGTAACCATGGCCAAATAGTCTTTTCTGTTATACGTGATATAATCAACTGACAATGGTCTGACATAATGGTTCCTGGTTGCATTTGAAAAGTTAATTTTTGTAGCCAAAGCAAAACTTAACTTTACCTGGTTTGGTATGCTCCGGACATTTGAATCTTTGTGACTGCCATGAGTGTAGGGAGAGATGTTCACCATGTTGTAATATAAGTCTGGAAGCAGTGCGTTGTTACATTTGACAACCTGGTGGAAGAAGCCAACTGGCATCAGGTACACGCTGTTCTTCAACCCTCCTAGCTGAAGTTACTGTAGATATGTTTCACGATGTTCACCTTGAAGAAGAATAACGGCACTTGATAATGAGAAACAAGGTGTATGAACAGTTTTTAAGAGCATGATTTACCACACACTTGGGACTTACCTATTGCATTGAATATGTTTATCATCACAAGTTCCCTCGGCTGGACGTCCAATATGGCTGACAAGTGTAAATCATTTGACTTTAGTGACGTGATTACAAAACCTCAGTAACTATAAATCATTTATAAGTTTGTACTGTTTTAATATTAATTCTAACATATATGAGACAGCATGAATTTGGAGCCGACTGTGGGCAGACGCCTTGATTTTTTTTCCTTAATGTCCCTATGTGGTGACGAAAGTCCATATGATCAAATGAAGTACTTGTGGTCCAGCCAGAGAGACTGCTAGTAGCTGCATGTCGTGTGGTGTAACAGCTGTCCTCCAACTTGAACCAGATATTGAACCCTGAAAGCTTCAGCCTTTTATATATCAATATAACCACAAACTTCTCTCTGGTGTTGATGGCTTTACTGAAATTACATATTAACCAGGGTAGGTCAGTGTGATGTGCATATCAAGTGACTGTAGAAACCAAGGTAGGTAGTGACAAGTGCGTATATCAGTGCTTGACTCCAGTGTACGTAATGAAAAAGAAATGGACACTTGAACAATATACTATAAGTTATTATTGAAAGAATTAAGAGTAATATGGAGAGAAGGATCGTAGATGAGCAAGGGGAGCGTTAGGAAAAATAGGGGTTGTGTAGACCAAGTGTTTACAGTGAAACATATAGGAGAACAGTATTTAGATAAGGGTAAAGAGGTTTTCGTTGCATTTATGGATTTGGAAAAGGCATACGATAGGGTGGATAGGGGAGCAATGTGGCAGATGTTGCAAATGTATGGATTAGGTGGTAGGTTACTTAAAGCAGTTAACAGTTTTTACGAGGACAGTGAGGCTCATGTTAGGGAATGTAGGAGAGGGAGACTATTTCCCAGTAAAAGTAGGCCTTAGACAGGGATGCGTGATGTCACCATGGCTGTTCAATATATTTATAGATGGAGTTGTAAGAGAAGTGATTGCTCGGGTGTTGGCAAGAGGTGTGGTATTAAAAGATAAAGAATCTAACACAAAGCGGGAGTTATCATAGTTGCTTTTTGCTGATCATGCTGTGCTTTTGGGAGATTCTGAAGAGAAGTTGCAGAGGTTGATGAACGCATTTGGCAGGGTATGTAGATGAAGTAAATTAAAAGTGAATGTAGGAAAGAGAAACGTGATGAGGATAAAAAAAAATAGGTAATGAAAGATTGGATATCAGATTGAGGGAGTATGGGAAGTGAATGTATGGGAGTGGAATTGTCAGCATATGGGTCTATGAAAGATCTGGTAAGTCATAGAATTGATGATGAGAAAGAGGTGAGTGGAGCATAAGGAACCTGTGGAGACAAAGAACGTTATCCAAGGAAGCAAAGAGAGGGATGTATGAGAGTATAGTGGTACCAACGTTCTTGCATGGATGGGGAATGATGCAACAAGGAGAAGGCTGGAGGCAGTGGAGATGTGTCTGAGGGGAATGTGTAGTGCGAGTATTATGCAGAGAATCCGTAACTTGGAGATTAGGTTTATAAAAGTATTATCCAGAGTGCAGAGGAAGAATTGTTGAGGTGGTTCATACATCTAGAGAGGATGGAATAAAATAGAATGACTTAGGGCATATAAATCTGTAGTGGAAGGAAGGCGGAGTAGGAGTCGTTCTAGGAAATGTTGGACGGAGGGGGTGAAAAAAAGGTTTTGTGTAGGAGGGACTTGGACTTCCAGCATGCCTGTGTGAGCATGTTAAATTGGAGTGGAGGCAAGTAGTTTTTATGACTTGACGTGCTGTTGGAGTTTGAGCAAGGTAAAGTTTATGAAGGGATTCAGGGAAACTGGTTAGCCTTACTTGAGTTCTGGAGGTGGAAAGCACAGTGCCTGCACTCTGAAGGAAGGGCGTTGATATGTTAGTTTTTTTAATTGTGGCATAGACGCGCCTCTGGCAAGACGCTGGTGGAGTGAATGATGTTAAAAGTGTTTCTTCTTTTTCTGGGTCACCCTGCCTCTGTAGGAAACTGCAGACGTGTTAATATAATATATATATATATATATATATATATATATATATATATATATATATATATATATATATATATATATATATATATATTTATATATATATTTATATATATATATTTATATATTTATATATATTTTATATATATATGTGTGTGTGTGTGTGTGTGTGTGTGTGTGCAATAAGATGACAGTAAACAGGTGATATATGCAAAACAACCACTGTAAGAAAATAGTAAAATTCCAAACGCTTTAGTGATTTCTCCCATTATCAAGGACCTATAATAACAGAACAGTAGAAGCTTTAATCAGCTATATTTCTCTCATCCATAGACCTGCTTGCTACAATTTTCTCGGCTTTTTGAATATAAGTTTGGTGATTATAAACTTTACTGCACTTTTTACAAGGAATCTTGTAGATGCAGCCGTCAACATTTTTGGGGGAATTTTTAATCAGAAGTTTTTTCAGTGTATCAAAATTTTTAAATACAACATGGATTTTAATGTTCTTTGTTAGAGAAAGTATATGAAGAAGGTTTTCATGGTGAGGGAACATAAGTAATTGTTGGTTTTCTGTATATTTTGAATTTATAATCATGATTCCCCTTAATTACTAAGACATCTGAAAAAGGCCAGTAGGCCTTCTGCAGTGTTCCTTCGTTCTTATGTTCTTATGTTCTTAAGTAAGGGATGGTTTAGAGTTCTATGATAAAACAAAGTACTCCCTAGAGCCAGATAGGCCGTACTCCCTAGAGCCAGATAGGCCGTACTCCCTAGAGCCAGATAGGCCGTACTCCCTAGAGCCAGATAGGCCGTACTCCCTAGAGCCAGATAGGCCGTACTCCCTAGAGCCAGATAGGCCGTACTCCCTAGAGCCAGATAGGCCGTACTCCCTAGAGCCAGATAGGGCGTACTCCCTAGAGCCAGATAGGCCGTACTCCCTAGAGCCAGATAGGCCGTACTCCCTAGAGCCAGATAGGCCGTACTCCCTAGAGCCAGATAGGCCGTACTCCCTAGTGCCAGATAGGCCGTACTCCCTAGTGCCAGATAGGCCGTACTCCCTAGAGCCAGATAGGCCGTACTCCCTAGAGCCAGATAGGCCGTACTCCCTAGAGCCAGATAGGCCGTACTCCCTTAAATATTAAACTTTTCAAAAAAAAAATTTTATGAGATTGTGAGCTATTTTTTTTTATTATTGACAATGACTTAATGCTTTTTAGTTTTGGACGAACTAACTTGGAAACCTCACCCAGCCTCCCTAAAACTAACAATTTTTTTAGGTAACATCTGCTAAATATATCACTGGTCATCTTAAGTATAATATTGCATTAAATATATAATACATATTTTTTTTCGTTATGCTCAGATCGATTTCCTCTGATTTATGGCAAAAGAATAAATTTTCATTCGGCTTATTCGGGAAAGAGAATCATTGCCAAATAGGCCAAACCGGACGATTTGGCTTATTAGGCACGTCATATATATATATATATATATATATATATATATATATATATATATATATATATATATATATATATATATATATATATATATATATATATGTTAATGTTGCAGTTTAAAAACTGTAGTGTAAAGCACCCTTCTGGCAAGACAGTAATGGAGTGAATGATGGTGAAAGTTTTTTCTTTTTCGGGCCACCCTGCCTTGGTGGGAATCGGCCAGTGTGATAATAAAATATATATATTATATATATATATATATATATATATATATATATATATATATATATATATATATATATATATATATATATATATATATGTCGTGCCGAATAGGCAGAACTTGCCATCTTTGCTTAAATAGCAACGCTCATCTTGCCATATAGGACAAGTGAAAATTTGTGTATGCCATAATTTCGCCAAAATCATTCTGAACCTAACGAAAAAAATATATTTCACTGTGTTTGT